CTTTACCATGTCTACAAAGTGTATGTTAGACTACATTTAGCCTATGGTCATATTATTTACCACAAATATGATCTATAAATGTGTTTATCCTTGACGGAAAGGCTTGAACAGACACAATATTCTGCAGCTTTGGCTGTTACTGGAGCTTGGAGGGGTACAAACAAGCAGTGTCTTTTTTAGGAATAAGGCTAGGAAAGTTTATATCACAGGAGATGGTATAGAAGGCTGTATCATTTCTTCAAATTATTGCTATCTCAATCACAGGGATCCTTGTTTGCAATGTGACCAGATCTAGCATATATGCTTTTAGCATAATCTTGGCCAAAAATCGTCATTTAGCATAACATCTAGCGTAATTTGGAATCTAGCATAACTCTGGCATAATTTTGATATTTTTGTAAAAAAATGTTGCTACCATTCATCCGTTGTCTATCATAACCAAATGCAAACACTTTACACCAGCATCTATGGTTTAATTTCGGTAGTAAATAGTGACTTTCCTCTTTCAGGATTTTGCCAGATGTTTAGAATGGTTTTCAGCCACATATTTTATGGTCGGCAGCAAAATTCAGCCAGCTAAACGCAGTATACAAAAAAGCAAAATTTTTGCTAGTTGTGGGTAGTGATAGCGTAATCAAAAATTTGCTTTGAAGGTTACAAATGTTTTTACTTGCTTTTATCTTGAACAGGCTATCTTTCACTTTGTTTCATGATTCATTATTTGCAATTTTGTAATTATTTTAAAATCTTTTGTATATTATCGTGCAAAAATTTTTGTTTCCGTTGTATTTTTGTTGTTTTTTGCAACATGCGGCCGAAATTCAGCCAAATTTTGCTCCTTAGGCCAAATCAATTCATGATGGCCAAGGGGTTTGGAAAAACTGCCAAAATGGAAAAATTTTGCCTTCAAAACCATTGATCTAAATTGCCTTTCGGTTTATGAAGAATGAGTACACAGCGTTTTAGATGAGTGGTCAAAAAGGCCAAATGGCAACCCTGACCACCTTTGATATTCTGAGCATGCGTTAGCCTCTTTCTCGAGCAGGGTTGCCTTGATTTGAAATTTAGCATATTTTTTGCGAATCTAGCATAATTTTATGACAAATTTGGCATAATTCCAAAATTGAGATCTGGTCACCTTGCTTGTTTGATGAAATTCCCCCTAAACATCAGATTGGTTACAATCTAAGGAATGCCCGGAATTACGAGGTACATGCTGCTAGGATCAATCGTTTTTTGAACACATATTTTTATAACACTCTGTACCAATGGAATTTGTTAGGGTAGGAAATAAAAAATCCCTTTCTCAGTTTAAGAGCGAATTATAAAAAATTATAAGACCTCAGAATAGAGGAACTTACAATATTTGTGATATTGAGGGTGTTGGATACCTTACAAAGTTGCGTTTAAGACCTAGTTTGTTGAATGAGCATAAATTTAGACACAACTTCTTCAGCCTGACCCCCTTATGAGCTTGTGGCATGGACAAAGAAGACAATGAACACTTTTTCCTGCACTGCCCCCAGTCTCATTTGATGCGTCAGAATATCTTTGGTCAGCTCTCTCATATTCCTGCCTAACACTAAATTAAGATGTTTAACCTTTGTATGAATTGCTTCTTTTTGGAGACCCACAGCTCAATGTTGTTAGTAATCGTAAAATCCTTGAAGCAACGTTTTCTTTTATCAAAAATACGAAAAGGTTTTCTAATGTTAATTAGGCAGTGGCAGTGGCAAATTTTGTGTTATTCCCATTTCTTTATTTCTCTATTCGTTATAACCCAATGAGGTGTCTCAAAGGAGTACTCCCATTTGCACCTTGCCAACCTGGCCTGTCACAATTGTTTTCTTCCATCTCCTTTGGTGGTCACAAAGTTACCTTATTTCTTTCGATCTACCGCCTGCTTTACAGGTACTTCAAGGTGTGGGATTCCCTTTTAAGACACCTGGTTGAAGTTGGTTCTTTTTATTTTTGTTTTGCTTGTTTAGTTTTTCTTCGTTGAAGTTGTAGTGTATAATTATTGTAAGTGGCTGTCGTAGATGGAACTCGCCGACAAGATGTCCTTTTCATCTATGACTCACAGGAGATTTAAATTTTTTTGTTGTAGTTAGTATTATATTTGCGATACCAAAAAAGCTGTCTTATCAATTCAAAGTCTGTAGGATTTTGCTACAGGCTATGAGCAGTGGCGTAACAGAGACCCTCGGGGCCCTTAGGAATTTACTAAGATGGGGCCCTTATTTAGGGACTGCGAAGTGAAGTGAGCTCTACGGGGCAAAGGAGTTCGGGGTAATGGGAAAATGTTTAAAATCGTGCCCTTTAGAACCTCGAAAAATGCACGTGATGTGGTAAAGAAAATGTTAATGAACCATATGAACCAACCGACAAGTAAAAACCAACAGTAAATTAGGTGTTCTTGCTCACAACGTGAGCTTTTTTACGTGCATTAACGTTGGCAAAATCCTTTATAAGCTTTGTTTTGTCAATTTTCTTTGCTTCCTTGTTCTCAATTGACAAAGTTTCTAGGTCGTCCAGTCTCTCATGTGACATTGTAGATCTTAGATATGTCTTTATCAGTTTCAACTTTGAAAATGATCTTTCTGCCGATGCAACAGTTATTGGCAAAGTGACGAAAAGTGTTAATAGCTTGTACATTTCTGGAAAGGATGAACTAATACGGCTCTGAAGCACGAGGTTATTAACTTCTAGAACAGTTTTCTTGACTGCAATCTCCTTTCTGAATTCGGTTGCAAATTATCTCATCCCAGAATCTAATTCATCTGTAAAGTCATTTGGTTATTTCGCACGAATTACTCGTACTGCATTTTCAAGCATGTCAGGACTCAGTGTTGCCAGGTTGTTGGGGTAGAGACAGCTGAATAATGACGTCACCATTGCTTGTCCTTGAACCTTTCTGTCAGTTGCATCAATGCTGTATCAACAGTCTTGTAGAAAACGTTTATCTTAAAACTTTGCTCAGGATCCATCAGTCTTCCATCTACAACAAGTTCATCTGATTCATATCTTGCCTTCCGACCCCTCTTTTGTTGAAACTCTAGCGATCCATCCCAAGATTTTGCAAGTGCTGTGGCAGTCAGCATTATAGACTGCCACGATTCTCGAAGATATTGGAGCTCCGAGAGTGCAATATTAAGGTGTCTAGAGGCAACTGACAAGTCAATCCTAGGGGAATGAAGCTCCTTTGATACTGCATTGACTGATCTTAGTATTCTCTCCCAGAATACAAGGAAAATAATAAATTCCAGTGTGTCAATTTTTTTCTTTAGACTCTTTGCGTTGTCACGCTCATTCTTGTTGTTGGCTGTTAAGATGAGTCGCATCAGAAGCCTCATTATCTGGGGATACTTGTCACGCACAGCTCGCAACGCATCAATGCGAGAGCTCCAACGTGTCGTACATAACTTTTTTAGTGTCAGTGATCCTTTCCCAGCTTCGATTCCAAGATCTCTCCATCTATTCAAGGAAGAGCCAAAAAAACTGAAAATATCTCGAAGGGTAGCAAAAAAGTTTTCACTCATAACATGTGATTGCCCACCTAGTAACAACGGTTAATTGGTCGACTTTGGTAATATCACTGGTGGAATCCAAGATTATACTCCAGAATGGTGCGGAATCAATATTTTCTACCAAAGTCGAGGATACAGTATTTGCAAGCAAGTGAATCAGCATATTTTGGATCTTAGCGCTAAGGTACTTTGTTGCTCTACCTGGAAGAGATATAACTTCTGCTAGAAATTCATCATATTCAGCCATGAGAGACCAATGCCAATAAGTTCCCACCTTCACACACATTATCATGAACCTGCTGTCTGTGCCCTCTGAATGCCAAGGTCAAAGTTGTCATTGTCAGTATAATTGAAATAAGCCATTGAAGAATTATAGCGAATAAACAAAACAAAACAGAATGAATGAATCCAGTGTTGTGTTAGCAACACTGTTTAGTAAGAACTATTGGGATGGCTTTAGGAAACCTTGTCAACATGGTAAAAAAGCACACAATAGGAAAAATTTGATGGGGGCCCCTTTTGGGCCCTATTTTGGTCGGGGGCCCTTAGTTCTCGAACTAAGGTCGCCTAAACTGCGTTACGCCACTGGCTATGAGCCTATGCAAAAATTTTGTAAGTATAAGTATAATTCTTATACATATATAGTACATGTTACCATTGCATCATTTTTAAGGCCATCTGAAGGGGGACTGGGGGGGAGGTTGAGTCCCCAATAATTATCAAACTGCAGTATATTTCCTTTATAACAGTGTACTACTACTAATAATAATAATAATAGTGATACCACTTCTCCATTTCGGAGCAATTACTACTTACTACGATTGCAGTGAGGGTAGTAATACGGGTTTTGGTTATTTTTGTTTTCTTTCAGAAATGACAAAATTGTTCCACACATTTGTTTATGTTACTAACTAACTTTGGATTATTTTCCTGTAAGCTACCTATTTTTGGCAAATCGTTTTTGCAAATAGCGGCATTCCCACTTGTGCTCCTCATGTTCTCTACACCTTCTGCATAAAACATTTTCATGTTTTCCCGTGTAATTTATCTTCAAGTCGGTCATGTTTAATTTTAGTTTTAGTAGTTTCGCACCTTCATTCACCATTGTGTGCTGAATGGGAAGCAGTACAACTTGCAGCCAACCACCATTCATGAAAGGAATGAAAGATATAAAATGCAGCGTAAATTGCATGGTGTTCCATGTACCTTTGGCAGGCATTGTACAGAGGACGTCCCAACATAGTTGGAACGTTGAATGTGCCTCCTTATGTTGAAACTGCGTGGAGGCATAGAGATGGAACTGCAGATTTCTTGTCCGTTGCCAATATCTTTGAAAAAACTTTCCTGTTGCATTATTCACAGCATCAGGTCATTTACCCTACACATCCATCAAATGTACTTCTCAAAATCTTTGAAAACATTGGCACTTGGCTCAAGACTGTAAAAACTAATCAGCAAAAATTTTGTTTTAAGGATATCAAGGGCCAATTAAAATAATCAATCATGAAGTTTATAGTCGGAAAAGATACAGTTGTTGAAACCATCGCAGATGACATGAAACCAAGAGATATTATCAATGCAAAGGTCAATTCCTTTGGCAGAGAGGTTGGTAAAAGTGGTATTTATAAATTCAATCACAAGTTATTTTAGTCTAATATCTTTAATTAGTAGAGAGTGCGGGAAATAACCGACCCGAGCGAGGCTCGGACTCACGACCCTTGACTTTGTACGTCAAGTGCTCTACCGCTGAGCTATCGGGTCGTGCTTTTAGGCCAACACCCAAGGCCGAGTCATTCAGGATTTTCAGGATAACTCAGGTTTTTATTGTGACTTCTGAATTATAGATATCAAAAAATCCTTAGATATACAAGTAAGTTGTGTCCTATAGAAATATCCCTGCAGTATTATTCTACTTTCTGAATAACAAGAATATCTCCTAGGACAAAGATGATGCTTTCATCATCGGTGACCTCGGTGATATCATCAATAAGATCAAGAAATTCAAGCAACACCTACCCAATGTTGAGCCATTCTATGGTAGGACACCTTTTATGAACCTGCATGTCAACTTTTCATCTTTGTTTTTTCAAAGTATATGAAATTGCACCTTTTATGAAATTGCATGTGTAAAGGCAACAGGATTTTCAAAGACAATTAATAGAGAGTGCGGGAAAATAACCACACTCTCTATTAATAGAAATTGCATGTCGACTTTTCATCTTTTTTGCCAAAGTGTATGTTACTCAGGTCCTATCCAGTATTGGGGACCTAAATATTGGATAAAACTGCAATCAATATATAAAAGTTTGAGTAGATATGTTCACCAACCTGATTTTTGTTATGAAAAGTAACTTCAAGTCATGATTTAAGTATTTTAGTTATTAATACGTTAATAGTATATACTTTCTTATATGCAGCTGTGAAATGCAACAATGAGCCTACTGTGCTAAACTTTCTTAGTAACAATGGGCTTGGATTTGACTGTGCAAGTAAAGTTGAGATCCAGACAATGTTGAACCTTGGCGTATCACCAGATAGAATCATTTTTGCCAACCCCTGTAAGCAGACATCACACATCAAGTATGCAGCATCAAACAATGTCAGCATGATGACTTTTGATAATGAGCAAGAACTACATAAGATCAAAGCAAACTACCCGCATGCTCAGCTTGTTATACGGATTAAAGTAGATGATTCGAAATCTCTTTTCCAAGTAAGTAATGAAGTCACTTCCTAAAGGTCAAAATCACTTGGTCAAAGTCAAAATCATTTTGCCAAGGTAAAAGTCACTTTGCCAAAATCAAAATCATTTTGGCAAGATCAAAATCACTTTGCCAAGGTCAAAATCACTTTGCCAAGGTCAAAATCAATTTTGCCAAGGTCAAAGTCGATTCGCAAAGGTCAAATCACTTTGCCAAGGTCAAAATCAATTTTGCCAAAGTCAAAATCACTTTGCCAAGGTCAAAATCAATTCGCAAAGGTCAAAATCACTTTGCCAAGGTCAAAATCAATTTGCAAAGGTCAAAATCACTTTGCCAAAGTCAACATCACTTTGCCAAGTTCAAAATCAATTTTGCCAAGGTCAAATCACTTTGCCAAGGTCCAAAATCAATTCTCAAAGGTCAAAATCACTTTGCCAAGTTCAAGATTTCTTTGCAATCACCAAAATCACTTTGCAAAAGTCAAAATCACTTTGCAAAAGTCAAAATCGCTCTGCAAAGGTCAAGATCTCTTTCCAATCACCAAAATCACTTTGCAAAAGTCAAAATCACTTTGCAATGCATATTTATTGTTTTGGTAGACATATGCATCAAATGTCTGGCGACTGAAACTTTCAAGTTGAAACACGTTGCTAGTTTTTGTTTGGCTATTCAAATTATCCAAACTTGGCCTAAACAGGAATATTGATGATGGGGAAAACCTATTGTCTGAATAACGTTAAACATTTTTGCCATGGTATTAAGTTTATGTAACGTAGAATCCACTGTCACTTATTTTCCTAGACCTGTTGTATCTTAGAATATTTAAGAATTTAATCATTAATGCACAATTTAAGGTGCAGCACTGTGTGTGCGCTGTTTTAACAAATGGCAGTCCAAACTTTAGGCGCAAGAGGTCTCAAGATGACATCGTGCTGATGTAGGAGAACAATAGGTTGTTCGTTCCAGTCTTTTTTCAGAACAGTGGACCAGAGTTACTATTGGTTCTGGTATCTGGCTTTGATTTTTTAATGATGCTCTCTGTAATTCTCTAATGCTAAAAATTTCTTCTCATCACATAGATGTTGCACAAATACCGATCACTGTAAACATTTCTGGAATAAAAGTCTACAGAAGTCCCCCAAAATTTTTTATCTTATAGCTTAGTGCCTGGAAAATGACCTATTTATGTAGATAGAATGAGCAAAGAGCCTCTTATTTTGTAAACTACTTACACAACAATGGGGAAACAGGTTTTGCCTGCAAACTGACACTCAGTTGCCTTGATGAGGGTGTTTTGCCAAGATTTATCAAAAGGCTCATTATTATGATACATGGGGCGGCTAGGCGTTCAGTTATAGAGCGAACAGACGGCATCAGAAAAAAATTATCAACCCAGTGTACTTAGAGCAGTGAAAATTTTCCATTTGTTTTCTATCCAACAAAAGCATTTAATACAGGAAGATCCCAAGTTATCTGAAATTAAGAATTTATCTTGTGTTTAGATATTTGGGTTTCTGCGTTAAATGATATGATATTGATTATGCAATTTTCATTTAAAAAGGTCGAGTATCAATCATTACAACCAGCTTATACCTTTTTTAGTTGGGTGTCAAGTTTGGTGTTCTACAAGGGAAAACAAGACCTCTCTTGGAGGCTGCTAAAAGACTCCAGCTGAATGTTATTGGTGTCAGGTAAGCTTTGATGCTAGGCGCACACGAGCGATTTTAAATGAGCTAAATGGCATGAGTAACATTTAGCACTGTGTGAACAATCATCTTCACCGTGCAACTTAAGAAGTAGAGTGCCACTATGATAGTGGCCAACATGTTATTCCTGCAGATTCTCCATTTTAGGCATCTGCTTCTTGCTTCTGAACTGCATTTCTGCTAATCATGCTCACATTTGACTGACTGACCATTCTCTCATAGTTTTCACGTTGGTAGTGGCTGTTATGACTCAGAAGCATTTTACTATGCTGTTAAGGCTGCAAGAAATGTGTTCAATGAGGGGGTGAGTGTTTTATGCTCAATAGCATGCATTCCAGCCACGATTATATTTTGAGTGACCTAAATTAGAAATTTCGCAATGTACTGGAAATATCATTTCCGCCATACTATTTTATATTATTGTTAAATTAGCGAACAGTTATTATGACCGAAGAGAACGCCAGTGTTGTGTTTGTTTTGTGGTTTCTGGGACCCTTTCGAATTAGTTTTTTATCATTAATCAAAACCTAAGGAAAAAACGACTCACTTTATTTGCACCATGCAGTGGGGAAGTACATATAATCATCTGGTCCCAACTGCAGATGGTGCTTACAATTCAACAAAATCACAATGATTGATATTAAGTTTGTCTCGCATTAGATGTCAGAAGAAATCGGTTAAAAAGATAAGTTCTTTTTCTGTTTATTAGATAAGTTCATTAGACAGTTCAGAATGCCCAAAAACGTTGAAGGAAATTTCCAGGAATATCTTATGTGTGACAAACTTACTCAAAATAACGATTGGATAAACAAAATACAGTAAATAAGTTCATGCCCCCTTGGTAGCAGATTTGCTTTGAAGCTTCAATAAACTCCCCCCTAATAGAGTGGTAAAGTGAATACGTCACGTTGCCCCGGTAACCAAATTTCTGTTCTAAACAAACCAACAAATATGGCGTTTTCTATAACCTCTCTGTGTATATTCTTCGAAGGCGAAACAAAATCGATTTCTAGGGGTGAAAATCATTACAAATCTGGACATGTAGAGTCTATTACATACATTCCTGGAGTTCTGAAAGGAAAGGTTCGCGCTAGCATGAAGGACAAGGTCTATAATGTTACGGTAAGTTTTTATTATTTCTTTATGCTTGCGATCTCTAAAGCATTAGCTAGATTTAGGTCTATCAGAATAAGTAATTAGAATCTAGCCTAAAAAGGTTTTAAAAAATGTGTCACTTATTTAAGTCAATGATGGACCAACAAGATAATAAGGCGGTCCGATTTCCTATCGATTTACAATGCCGTTGCTCTGCTAAAAAGTAGGCCTAAATCGGAATCGTGCTTCCAGCGCATCTTCAATAAGCTTTTCTTCCACTAATCTTAGGTCATACAACATAAATCAAAAGCTGTTGGTGGAAAAATATAGATTTTTAGCTTCCTAGCCCGTACCAATGTAACAGGTCAGAATAAGTTGAACCCACACTATGGGTAAATATTTTTTAGGTGTACATTCGTGTAAACGGCACTGCCCATGATGGGTGCTGATTTCCAGAGTTCGACCTTTGTAAAATCATTTGTAAATGCTACCATAAATCCTCAAATTAGACTCTTTTAGGGAGGGGCTTGTCAATTTGCGGCGTTTTTGGATGTGGCTAATTTCGAAGGGGTGCTTATACCGGAGGAGGGGAGGTGGCTTTTAAATATTATCCCGAAGTCGGTTTCAAAGTGTTTTTCACTTGATTTGCCAGCTGATTTTATATCCATGTCTAGATTATTGTTAAAATGCTTAATTTATTTTTTTGCTTTTAATTGTATAACTACGTATGGTTGATTATGGATTTAATTAATATGCTATACTGGAGTGTGCTGTATATCAATTAGCCACCATATAAAAATGCTAAAATTGACGGGTTTGGGTTGGGTATATTCCAGGATGAAACTCATATAAGATGGGGTAACAAATTTTTAAGATTCGTGGTATCTTTTAAAAAAAATCTAATTGGAATATAAATATCATTCTGACCTTTTCCAGCAAGTAATTGAGATGATTATTCCATCTGTCGAAAGAATCGCTTGTTTGATTGCATATAATTTTTCAGGTATATGTTGACGAGAGCTACTTAATTAAATCAACACAGTGTGAATGCCCTAGAGGTGAATTCAAGTGTAGCCATGCAGCTGCCCTTTTTATTCATGCCATCAACAGCATTAGTGTGACAGATGTAGAGTGCTCATGGAAAAGGCAGAAGACTGAGAGTCTTTCCACACATGCAGTATCCGAACTTTATCAACCCAGAAGGCCAGGATATGTTCCACTCACAAGGGAGCCAAATGATGAAGACAAAGCTGCACTTTATGCCGATTTGTGCAATTATGGCCGATTTACAGGCCTGTGGTGGCTTTTAAGTCCTGAGCCTCAAAAGCAGGAGAAGGCTCAAGTAAAATTGATCAAAGAAGTTGTCTTTTCAAGCGAAACACTGGAAATTCCTTCATTTGTTGAAAGGCTCGATTTCATAAAAAGCAAAATTTTGGTAACTTCACAGGAGATTTTTAAAGCCAGTCAACTTACTATTGGACAGAGGGAAAATCCACAGTGGCATCTTGTTAGAAAAGGAAGGCTAACTGCAAGTAGGTTTGGTTTAGTCCTGAATGCCAAGAGGATAACACCTTCCTTAATCAAACAAATTCTTGGAGAGTATGATTTATCTGGAGTTAAATCTATTGCTTGGGGCTTGACCAATGAGGCTGAGGCTATTGGTGCATTCTCTAAAAGAACCAAGCTGGAGGTTGTGAGCACAGGGATATGGCTTGATTCTTCTGGGGTTTTGGGTGCTTCGCCTGATGGTTTAGTAGGTTTGGATCATGTTTTGGAAGTTAAGTGCCCCTATACACAAAAAGATCAGTCACTTGAAGAGGCATTAAAAAGCAAGACATTTTGTCTACAAAAGGAAGGTTCCTTGTATCTTTTGAAGAAAGATCATGCATATTGGCATCAGGTACAAGGGCAAATGTATCTCACAAATAGAAACAATTGCTATTTTGTTGTGTGGACACTAACATGGTCGGTAATAACCGAAATAAAGAAGGATCCTTCTTGGGAGGAAAATATTGACAAATTGAAGAATTTTTATTTTGGCAACATCCTACCAAAGATAATGAATGATGAACTGTTTTAAAATATACATTGCTATTTTGCTTCTTTAACTTACAATCGTTACTACTGCTATGTTACAATCATTGTAAATAAATTTTTAAAAATATCAATCAAAGTCAGTTGCTTCACAGCATTCTTTAATCAAAGGAAACTGCAGGTTAACCAATGCTGCACAAAGCTGAAAGATGGTGTTGATATGGCTTCGTAAATAGGGTGGCACAAATCCAAGTATTTTAAAATCTTTCAGCCTTGCATTTACACGCTCAACATGTATTCTGCACCTTGCAATGTTTTTTGTTGCTGCAGCTTCACTTTCTGTAAATTTTCCATGTTGCAAAAAAGGTGGAATATTAACAGAAACTCCTGAAGGTACCATATCGTGTATCAAAAACCCTTTGTCTGCTAGGATAAGGTCTCCAGTTTCCATTTTGCTTAGCAACCCAGACTTGTTCACAATCTCTTTATCCGAGATCGACCCAGGGTAAAGGCTGCTTACAAATGTAATGACCCCATTTGGTGCAACTCCAACCAAAACTTTAAATGAGTTCATACCTCTATATGTTGAGTATGTTGCACTTTGATGGCTCATTAAACTGGGCCTTGCAATTTCTATGTCAGTGCAATCAACAATAATCCTACAGTTGGTGAAAAGTGAAAAGGAAGATGGTGAGCAAAATTCATTCTTCTCCCTAGATGGGATTGATAGCATGATATGTCTGAACAGTAATTTATGGAGAATATGAATGAATGTAGTAGTTATGTTTGAAATTGTAGCAACACAGCAAGAAAAAAGTTGAGCCAAGTGTAGGTTTGTATAATTTTGACGAAGTTTCATGAGTGTAATAAAAATCTGATCCTCAAATGAAATGCTGACAACTTTCCACCCTGCATAATACACCATAGTTTCTTTAAATCTTGTGGCATGACGGACAACAATTTGGAAAACTTCTTTTGTTGGCAGTCCAGTTTCCATGCGAATGACCTCTTCACTAAGAGTACATGCAGTATAATGTTTTTTGTTGTAAGAGGCTTCTTTTGTTCTCTCTGCCAAGTCATTCCTTGTTTGTTCCAGCTCAGCCTTTAGTATGACTTCATTAAGGGGAAGAACATCTTGATCAACAACTGGTTGTGGCTCATTTTCTCGATACCTAGCTACAATATCTGCAATTGTTTCTTCATCACTCTGTTTTCTTTTTTTGACCTGAGGCTTGCTGCTAGAGGACGGAAACATCTTTTCAGCATTTCTGGCATAAATTTCGGGGCCAAAGCATTTCTCTCCATTTCTGAAATGACAGCTACAGACCCTTGAATGGGTGCTGGGCTCTCTATCCTCTCTCCTATATAGGATATAAATTGGACCACATTTAAGTTTATTAAAACAACTGAAATATACTTCTTAGATTTTTCTTTTGACTCGTATAAAGGTAAGTTTTGAAACTCAAGTCATTTTCATAATTTTTAAAAAATGTCTTGTTATTAAAAGCAAATTGAGCATATATGAGCACAGGTGCTGACTTTCTCTAGAGGTTTTGATTTTCCCAGGGATGGCTCAAGACTTAAAATGAATGTTTTAACTAAAAAAGGGTTCTTTTTATTTAGAAAATGTTTATGGCACAATTCGATCTCAATTATTGACAAGGAGCCACGCCAAAACATTACAATTGATTGTCCTGTCACAGGGCCGGGGGAGGGGGCTTGCACCCTCAATCCCCTACTTAGTCTGTACCCGTGTAGTTTAAGCACTGGAATAGTGGCGGAAATCAGGATCCGATTACTTTTTGCCTAAAGACCTACATGTTGCGTTGCTACGATTACTATATGCTATGCAAAAGCAGGCGATGTATCGATCTAGGCCATGGCTGAAATTCACATCGCCGGTTATGAAAAATTATGAATTAATCTAACCTCAATAGCTTCAACCATCTCTTGTATTCCTGGGGCTTCTTTTCTTTGCTTGGGAATCCAAAGAAACGACAGTAGTGCGATTCCGACTGGTGGTTGCAATCAGGAGCGAAGCATTGAACCATTGTCGCGCTTTGAAAATTAATCGTATACTCCACCAAATATGTGTTTTTAGCGGCAAATCGACTAAAAGGCTTTAAAGCATACGAAATGTTTCAAATTGATTCTTTTGCTAACAGGAAATACACGTTTAAAGCTGACTTTTTATTACGGCCTATTGACTTCATATACAGAGTAAGGTTTGTTTAGAACAGAAAATTTGGTTGCTACGCGACGTGACGTCACACTTTAGTACTCTATTGTGTCCTGTTTTAGATAACTATAATATATTTGTCTTTAAAGATCTTGAGTAGCTTTTCAAATAAGTCTTTCAGGAATCACTTGGTTTCAATTTCACATTGTTGGATATTGGAGGTGGCTTCCCTGGTAACAATGCTGCTGCGATTTCATTCGAGGAGGTAACAAATTTCTTATATTTTTAATTTGGTGAAACAGAAAAGATTTAAGCATGGGCATAAGCATAGATTTAATCAAAATGATTTCTTCAAAAGCGAAAGTTTCTCATATGAGAGTAGCAGCTTGATGATTAGCTGTCTATGGAACTAACATTGTTGAATGCTGTGTATATCAAGATTGTTGCCTACCAGTCTGTTATTTCGTATTATACAGTCCTCGATGCCCCTTTAGGCAGTGCTGTATACGCACTGGTCTCTAGAACAGGACAATTCTAGACTGCCACACCCAGTTTCACTTCTAATGCGATCAAACAAGAGCGTGTACTGTTCATGTCTACAGTAGGAAAATTAGCTGCTAGAATTTTGTTTAAAAAATTTATAAGTAAACTTATACTGGATCTCCCCTCTGTTACTCCATCTGTATCTTTATGTATTAGCAATTACGAATGTGTATCTCACCCCCTATGTTATGGCGCCAGGATAGTCATAGTTGATGCTCTCCGGGGTTTGGTTAATGTAAAGTGGCGTGTAGTTAATGGTATTTTAGTAACTTGCCATTTAACCTCTAGAAATGTATAAAAACTCCCTTTATGCCTGAGTGACGTAATGCTTGGTTCTGTTATTGCTTTAACAGTCTGCTGAACAGCTGAACCGTGCTTTTGCCAAATATTTCCCAGCCAACTGCGGAGTAAGAATCATTGCTGAGCCAGGAAGGTTTTATGTCTCTTCTGCCTACACCATTGTCTGCAATATAACATCGGTTAGGTCCATCACTGGTGAAAATTCATCCGAAAAGAGTAACCAGAAGGAGGTGGGCTCATATTTAAGTTTTTATCTTTTCTCAAAAGGTTTATTGGCGTACATGAAGAATCCGGATAGGTCCTGGATGTCAAATACTTAGAAGAGCGCTCCCTGACCCTAGGCGACCTGTAATTCGTTAATGCAAGCAAAGTAACTCCTCGAGGTGTATGACACAAGGTGAATCAGATTATCCTGACCGGATTCTTCAGTTTTGCCAGGTGTATTATTTGAACTTTAAGCTCTCGTCTTAGCATCACTGGTATGTAAATTAATTCATTTTCTGTCATTATGGGGGGTTGTTTGCGGAAAATGTTATGAAACGAGGTTTTAACATTTACACTTCCTCTCGTATTTAATAGAATGCTTCCACTTTCCATAAACGAGATTTCCTTATATTTTTCCTTCCTGAAATCCAAAACTTCCTTTCACGCATATTTGGAGGAAAGCGTTAGAAACAACGTAAGAATTTTGTGAAATGCTTGCCCAACTCAGCTACAGAATGCTACAGTGATAAAACACTCAGCATGACCTTACCTTTATAATAAAATGCCCCAACATCCCGTAGACCTATTGCAAAGCAGCACAATTTTTGTGTTGAACAATTAGATTATGTGATTCGAAAAAACACCAATTATGACAGAACACAGAAGATATTGGACAAAACTTTCATAACGTCATAAGTACTATTTGTTATCATTAGCAAACAGTGAGCCCACTACGCCTCCCTCCACAAAACCCCAGTGCAATTCAGGGGCGGATCTAGGATTTTTGGTGACTATAGCTCAAATCTTTTGGGATCGGGACCACGCCCTCCTTGCTTGTGGGACACGCCCATTATATGGGCAAATGATATAACCATGTGTGTTTATAGTTGCTTCGTATTAATAAATATTCCTTCGAACATCCTTTTTTTATTTCCAGGGACGCCAGAGAAGGGGGTGTGGGGGTACAACCGCCCATGTTGCCCTTTGGCAGAAGTGGCAAGGGTTGTTTTTAATAAAGTTCCCTTGAAACTGGCCAATTGTAATAATCAGAGAGATTCATATAATATTCTGAACTTCTCAAAACATGTAAAATAGTTCTATATGCCGAAAGTTAGCCAATGTTGAAGATACCTACAGAAGATCGAAATAAAATTGCAGTTACGTATGAATTTTTAGAAGCTGAGAATTATCTATCAAAAGCCCTTTTACTCAAGCCTGCCCCCCCCCCTCTCGCCGCTTGGTCGTTCCGCCGTCCCTGCCTATTCCCTAGTAGGTCCTTGCCTTTGAAGCTACATTACAGGGGACCCAGGATGTGAAAACGAGCTATAGTCCACTGTTGCTTTACAGGGGACAGAGAGCGGAGAAGTAACGTGGATACTCATATTCTATTGGTTAAAAGGCCATTTTCAAACCTGACTATAGCTTCACTATAGCTCGCGCCAAAAATTATAGTACGGGTTTCATTGTCTTCGATGCCTTTTCCAGAGCAAATCCCCAGACCGACTATAGCTCGGAATATCCACTGTAGCTCAATTCTGGTTCTTCTGATTAACGAAACTTCTGATTCGTCTAAGTTTTAATATTAGACCATTCTGCGCTCAGTGTTTTATATCTTATCTGGAGAGGCATTGTGATGACACATTACCAGCATTGCATGTTTGTTAATCCCATTTGATAACCAGGGGCGGCGGGGAGCAATAATAAATTGCTATTAATCGCGAGCGAAGCGAGTGAACAACGTGGGTCCGGGGGCCACGCCCTTTAAAAGGGCGGAAACGCCCATCCTTTACAAGAGGGATACAGATATAAAGTTATCACTGCTCCTAAATGATGGTCTATTTTCCAAAACTAAGCACGTTTCTGAAAAATCCACAAAAATTTCTATTAAGATACGAAATATTTTGAAAAAAAGAAAACATTTCGTCTAAGCTCAAACATTATTGTTGTTTTTATTTTATTTTTACAACAAACGTGTATCGCAAATTGATCATTTTTTCAAGCACATCTATGAAAAAAATTGCAGTTATTTTCTTGAAAATCGTTCGAGCCGTCGCTGATTGCTCTCTCTGAACCTGCTAACAACATTCTGATAAAATGTTGGTTGTTTTGCCAATGATCGCAATGTACCATGCTCAACTTGTAAGAAAACAAGGTGTTCCTTTCTTTCTTGCAGCATTCTTGATCTCGATTCTGAAATCACTCTTTTCATACGGCTGAACACTCTTTCGCAGTGTACGCTTGTGAGTGGGGTCACTGCTGCAACTTCCAGGAGAACCATTGCCTGCGGAAGAGCATCTGCAAGGTCCGTGCTATGTATTACAGTGAGCAGGTCTTGCATACTCAATGTTTCTCCGTGTGCAATGTCTCCCTCAAGACCCGTACTTTCTCTAATTTCGAATTCGTCAATTTCTTCCACGTCTATCACCTCTTCCATCACCTGGTCACCAGAGCTACTTTCCTCGCGATGGCTTGCTTTATTACTTCTGTGCCTTGCTCTCCTTTGCTTCATGGCTCTGTTCCTTTCGTTCGCACATTTACGAAGAAGCAGCGAGATCTCATGGTTATTGTATAAAACTTCCAAATTGTGTTCCACTGAATTTATGTCATGAACGGCAAATGGGTACAAATCTCCGAATTCTCTGATGAGCTCTTTTATCTCATTAGGAGGCCTTTTGACATTCTCTGCAAACTTGGCGGGGTGAATCAGATCCATCCACTTGAATTTTTTGAGGTTCTCGAATCTCCATGAAATCTGCCCTGAAAACTCGATGCATACTTTTGATGCCACAATCGACAGCTTCTCTTTCCAAGCATCTTCGGATCCATTATTGTGCGTTTCCCTTCCTCTCCATCCTGCTCTGGCTCGTTCTACGGGGAAACTTGGGTCCGCATCGAGTGTAATTTGCCAAATGTCTTCAAAGCTTAGTGCAGCAAGAAAATGTTGGAAGTCGTCGAGCATAGATCTCAGCTGAACAGCATCCAATGTTGGCTTCTGCATAACGGTGATAATTGGCGTGCAATGCTCAAAGATCTTCCTGTACAACTTCAGTAAACATAGAAAGTCAACATTTTGGATGTTGGCAAGAAGACCTCTGGCTGTCGTTTGGGTGTCGACTTTCTCTCTCCCATTCGAAGACATCTGGTATAAGACTGTGCCGATTGTCTCGTAGCACGAATCGATTGCAGTAATGGCCGTGTCTCGAGAAAGCCACCTTGTATCACCAGGCTTTGGAAGATTATATCCAGTGGCGAAGCCAAAGGTCCTGCTGGTCCTGCTGAGCAGGACCAAGAATTTCCAAAGATAAGATTTACTGTAAACAATAAACAATTTCTTCTTTGCAAAAAGGAAGTTTCAAATTCTTTTTGATAAACAGTCCCCAGTTCCGCCAGCTGATACAGGCATCCCGTGCTAATCTCAAGGTCCTGTTCTCTTCTACGGCAGCCCTGTATTTTGGTCCTGCTCATAACTATGATACCCTATGTTTGGTCCTGCTTCACAATGGGCTTTTGTGAATTTAGTCCTGCTTCACAATAGTCTAGAACAAAGAGCAGTCCTGCTCAATCTCGGGAGCAGGACCTCGTCGAAATGACCATCATAACATTTCGTAAGCAGTTGTGATTTGATTGGTCGAGGGTTCACTTACATAGGTCAAAAGGTATTGTTTTGAAAACCTTTGGTCCTGCTATTTCTGAGAGCAGGACTGCAAGAATTGCCCTGTGCATTCTCGTTCTGCTATGAGACACTAGCAAGGAGGCCAGTTCAAGTATTATGGCGAGGCGATGTGAATGTGGATTTCCTGCTTGCTTTTGCAATACCAATGATATTATTATTGACAGCAAAACTTGCCTCAGTTGAGCTGCATAAATTTTATTTGTAACAAGACAGAGTCCAAAGTTCGCAAGAAAGAAATGTAAACAACAAGAATTGGCTGTATGAGGCACTCTGATTTCGGCCTTTGCACGATCGTTTGAGGCACGGTATATCATGGTGGCCTAAATAAAATTTTCTTAGACTTGGACAAGGACGATGAAAGCATAATTGAATTTACTGTTGTGTGATTGAAAGTTTTGAGTTGGAGAATAAACCAATTTCAGCGGAATTTGCATTTTTCTACCTGAATTGTTTTCTCGTCTAATGGTTTATCTAATAAAGTTGTTTTCATTGATAATGTGACACATTATTCGATTGTACCTCTCTTTATCAGCTGCAGAATAATTGTTCTGCAGAATATGTGAACTTGCCCCTACAGACTTTAAACTCTGTTGTTTATTAAAATTATTTTAATAGAGTATCTAGATTGGTCAGGTTTATATTATGTGTGGAATAACACAAATGTATGATATGCAACTTTAAATGCCACCCCTACCCCCTTTTATCGTGAAATTTAGTTATCACCAATTTGAACTTTTACTTCAGCTGTAGAGGCTTACTACAATTTAACATATATTTGTTTGAAAAGTAAGCACCCTAAAGCACGTCTTTAAGTATGGGTTTATTTTTCAAAAGATAGACATCGATTTAAAATTTGCTTTTCACTGAATTTAAGAAAAAATTCATCTGCAAAATAGAATTTTTGTCCATAGGCTTTTCCAATTGAATAAGGGCGTGGCCCTGTCCATATAGCAGGACCAACAATTTTTGGCTAGCTTCGCCACTGATTATATCCAAGGTATCGCGTTCGCTTGGGACTGCTTCGGAAAAACGTTATCAGCTTGTCTAATATTCCAAAGAATTTAGCCACTTCTGGGATTTTCATCGATGACTGCGACGCACAAAGTGACATCCTGTGTGCAACGCAATGGTTGTAGTAGGCAAGTGGAAAGTAATCTCGCATTCTCTTTTGCACACCATTGAGCTCGCCACTCATTGTCGCCGCACCATCATATGATTGTCCAATCAGCTTTCTCTTTCCTGTCTCAGGAGTAACATTGTAGCTCCCTAATATTTTTATCATGATCTTTGTAAGCCCATCAGCAGATTGATCGTCAGATGCATCTGTGAGGCCAAGCAAATGTTCTTCGACAT